AAGTCGGATGCCAAGAAGAACGGAACAACACCAAATAGTGAGGCTATCAAGGAGGATCTTGCACTTCTCTCAGACCCTGAGCTCTCAGATTGTTCGGACTCTGAGAATGCCGATTTGAGCGAGAATTAGGCGTCTATCTGTCTACTAAATTATATTAGGTTATCCATAATTATGTATTGTGTGTGTTAAAATAACTCTTTCGACAATGAGTTTGTGAAAGGTTTGTCTAATATTTGTCTATGTAACTATTAAGTATTGTACTCGTCGCTTTATTTTATGTCCTGTGTTATGTTGAATGTTTCCACAAATTATTTTTGTGGGATACTTATGTTTGAACTAGTAACGTCGTTTTGAAGTGTTATAGTCATACCTTTATTTTGTTTCCCTGTTTGTAATAGTAGTTAGCAAATTAGATACTTTATATATGCTGTGTGAAGTTTTATTTAAATATTTCTTGGCAACAAAATATTTAAGGGAACAACAAATATTTAGTTTGGAAAATTCCGCGAAAGTATGCTTAGTTTGGGAAATAAATTAGTATAGGGGCTTAGTTTGGGAAAAATTCCAAGAAAATCTCTCTGAAACTACGCGAAATGTTCTCTGGAAGGGTGCGTGTCTGGAGACCACTATTTTCTTCTTCTTTTTTAATTTTTAATTTTTAATTTTTAATTTTTAATTTTTTATTTGTTGTTTTTATTTTTGTCCATCATCGATCTCTTTTAAATTATATTTGAATTATAAATTTAAATAAAAATTTTAAAAAACAAAATAATAAGGTAAATTAAGCAAATATTTAATTTATATTTTTTCATATTCTTTTTTACTTTTATATTTTTAAAGTCATAAGCGGTGATCATTGGTTCAATGGTAAAATCTTAGTCTGATATTCTTTGAGATTATGAGTTTAAGTCTCGGGACAATCACTTTATGCACTATGTCAAATGTTAGGTGTGTACCCAGTGGTGGAGCCAAGAAATTAAATTAGAGGGGGCACTTATTAATTATAACATTAAAAAATTTTACAAAAATATTTCACATAAATTTTTACAATTGACTTCAAGAAACATAATATATATATATTATTTGTAACAAGTATATCATGAACAATAAAAAAAAAAAAAAGAGTCATAGATATAAGTTTTAAAATAAATTATATAATGATAAAGTAATTTTTTATACAAAATTTTAGTAAAAATTCAATATAATAGTAATACCACGTCATCATTGACATATGATATCACCAACCAATAGTAAAGAAACATATAAAGGATGAACCCCAAATGTAAAATGTTACTAACAATTCAATAAATTCTATATCGTTATTGAGATTAATAATAATTATATATCAATAATAATAGACATCACCATTGTATTGAAATTTTCATAGATAATAATATTGACTTATCGTAATATCTTTATTTTGAATAAAAAAACAACCATTATTATTCTCATAATTTTAAAAATGTCATTGATATTTCACTCTAAATAATATTTTATAATTTTTTTATTTAAAATATTTTCTTTATGTGTGCCCCAGTGAGGGTCCGGATCATTTTTGATATTCAACCCGGGGAGGGGGGCATGTAACCCTCTTGGCTCCACTGTGGCTCCACCACTGTGTGTACCTAATCTTTTTTCTCTGAGTAATGCTAGGGATCCCAAATGTTTTATCAAATATTTTACTAAATGTTTCACATGGGTATGAGACCTGCATGAAACGCACATGATGTGGGTCCCACACCACATTTGATAGAACATTTGGTAAAATATTTGAGATCTAGCATTTTTTCCCCTCTTTCCTCTCCCAAACACACATTAATGTTAGGTGTGTATCTAATCTTTTCTCTCTCTTTTCTATGTTCACACATGAATATGTACTATTAAATTATGTATGTATTCAATTTTTTCTCTTCTACATACACATTAAGATGTACTATTTAAATATTGTTTTTTTTATTTTATTTAAATCCATAATATAACACATTATGTGAGTACCAACTGGTACTGTTTGGCTACTTAGAAAGTTGTTGAGAGAATCTCTTCATTTTGGGTTTTGGAATTTCTCAATAAGGAGATTACATTTAGGTAGAAAAAAGAGAAAAAAAAAAATTTATTAACACATGGCGGATATAAGTGTGTTTATGGTGGGTTGTAAATGAAAAATTGTAGAGATGTAAGTGTTATTTATACCCCTCAATGTGTTGATTGTTTTTTCTCTAACTCTTACTTGTATATAGTTCTCCCGTTCAATAATAACAGTGTCAGAATTGTGTCATTAATCATTTTACTTTTACTTTTACTTTCATTTATTTGCAAGACGTATGGTCACATATCTGATTTAGACAACAAAAATGATTAAGAGTTTTAATTTAGAGCTCTAGGAGGAGCTTTAATGGTGGGACGCACCATGTGATATGATGTTTATGCTTGCTTGTTTGTGGCTTTCTTTTTAATTTTTTATGCTACATCATTAGAGCTTAAATCAGAACTCTAGTTTTAGAGCTCTTAATCACTACTCTTTAGACAATTCATGTTGTTTATTTTTTAAAAATTTTATGTATAAATTATTTATGTAAATATCAAATTGATCTAATAATCGTATATATAATTTTATCATTTAAAAAAAAATGAATGAGAAACATAATTTTAAAATTCTATAATTTATTTTTAAATATTAAAATAATAAAATTTGGTAGCTAAGATTGTTTATCAATATGATATTTTATATGAATAATTTATATATAGAGATCTAAAAGATGACTGAGTGAATTATAGAATGTGGATTGAAGAGAAATCAATGAAAATAATAATAATAATAATAATAATAATAATAATTATAATTATAAATAGGTTTTTACTAATTTCAGATGCTGGACAAACAAATATTTCTTTAAAAGCGTGGTTACAAATCATGCTTTCTTTTAATAGCAAACATTTCTTTAAAAGCGTGGATAGAAATCACGCTTTCTCTTGAAAGCGTGTTTTCAAATCGCGCTATCACTTAAACTTGAAAACGTTAATAGCAACAGCGTTTTATTAATTAAAGTTGTGTTTTCTAACAACGCTTTTATGAATTTATTTATTTTGTCTGCCTAGGCTAGAAACATGTTGAAAGCGTGTTTAGTTGGAAAATTCGGCCAAACTAGATTTAGTTTGGGAAATAACTTATTACTTAGGCCTAGTTTGAGAAAAGCCTCCAATGTTTGTTAGTTGGCATGATGGTTGCAACCACACAACCTTGTGAGAATTTTGAAACTTAAGAAATGGCGAATTTTGGTACTTCAGAATCACGGTTGAGAGACGTGAGAATTTTGAAACGGCGAATTTTGTAACTTAAGAATCACGGTTGAGAGACGATTAGAATAGGCACACAAATTTTTAGAGTTAATTATACTTGTATCTTTAAACTTTCACGATAGTCTCATTTTGATTGGGCTCTCCCTCTTAGGAGGTTCTATTTGCACACCATTATTTTTTCTTATTCAGTTCATATATATATATATATATATGTCTTTCGTTTGGATATTAACTATTATCGACCAACAATAAATTGTTTGCACACCTGAATGAAAAAATACTAGTATGAATTGATAAGTTTTGTGATGTGCAAATGGAAGCTCCCTTCCCTCTCCTCAAATGTACTCCAAAAAAAAGAAAATAAATAAAATAAATCACTTTGCTCCTTCACCAAAAAAAAGAAAATAAATCACTTTGCTCCTTCAATTTAGTTTGTAATAATAAACTTTTTTATATTTTATTTCAAGTTAAACTGTAATGTTATTTTTTGGTCCGTCATACTTTAATAAACATTCATAAAAATTAAAATGTGAGTAGGGATGGCAATTTCTTCCGTTCTACCCATGCATCCCCCACCTTGCCTCGATTAGGAAAGCGGGTTAGGGATGGATTTTGTTCCCCCTTTCTGGTTCGACCTTGCCCTCATATTGATTATATTTACTAAATATATTTATAAATATAATTAGAGGTGGTTGGCAAAGGAAGAAAATCATCGCCGATGGTTGTTAGTATTTATAAACAATTGGCGGTGGTCGAAAAAGGTGAGAAAGTAGAAATGAAAAAAAAAGAAAAAGAAAAAGAGTAAAATCAGCACTCTTTTTTTTTTTTTTTGACAAAATTCAAATTGGTTAGAACTTGTAAATCGAAGTATAAAACGCAGCGGGAAAAATATTTACCTGAAACGAATTCTAGGATGTGAACAACCAACTCAATAGTGGAGTGATACTACAAAATGAGTATCACCCACACAAGTCACAGTGCAGAAACTGGATCGTTTGAGAGAGTTAGAGACAGAGTTTGGGAAAAAGGTTATGGGTAAAACCACATAACGTATCTGATAGAGACAGAGTTTGGGAAAAATGTTATGGATAAAACTACATAACGTATCTGATATACATATCAATATATTATCTAAAATATATAATCAGATATATAACCACTAATATCTATCTATCCATCTATCCATATCTATTGATATGATGGTTATCCAAATAAGTTTTGAATTCAAATTCAAACTTATATGGATAAAATTCAAAAGGTTCAAGTTCAAAAGATCATGCCACATGGGCGCTCAATTTCTAACAGAACTTTTTGAAAACCAAACCCAATTGGCTTATTGATTTTTAAGCACAATTAAAAATAGAAGAAGATGAATTATAAATATATCCTTGGAGGTTTACTTAAAATATATTATGGAAATTATAAATATTTTTTTATTAGAATTTTGTATTTAACAGATTACCAATAAAATAAAATAACAACTATTCTCCTACATAACAATAACATTATCAAAATTATAAATTAAAATATATTTATGAGATCATTAAAATTGTTAATTAACTAAATAATTTATAAATACAAAGAATTATTTATTATAAATTTGAAAGGAAATATAATAATCAGAACTACAAAACCATAATTTATATTTTAAACTATTATTTGGTAAAAGAATTTAAAAAGAAATTTAGAGGTACCATCCCATCCCATGCATGAAACAAACGTTGTTCGTTCCTTGTCGCCCTTGTTTTTCTTGCTTTACTTTTACTGCTTCATATTCTTTTCCTCTGCTCTCTCTTTCCCGCATATGCTATGGATTACAATGCCAAACTCTCTCTCTCTCTCTCTCTCTCTCTCTCTCTGTATATATACATATATATTCGTTTCAGCTTCTCTCCAATCTTCATTTCGTAGAGCATTATATTATATACACAGTTGTTGATAGTGCATTGAAGGTGTTCGAGAAATGGCGGCAGAGGCATCGAGGTCTCTGGTGTATACTCCGACGTGGATAGTCGCGGGTGTTTGCACTGCCATTGTCCTCATCTCTCTCCTTGCCGAGCGCGCTCTTCACCGCCTTGGAAAGGTAATAATCACACACACACACACACACACACACACACACTACTTCCAAAACTCATATCTTATTCATCCAAATTTTCATTCATAAAGTAATTTATTCAACTCTCAATCAAGGTTTTGGTTTTCAACTTGTTTAGGGGTAATTATTATCAGTGTTATTATTATACCCGTAGTCCTGTAGTTTGTCTCTTGTATCAATTTTGTCCTTGTTTTTCTAATTGCATCAATTGGCAGCTCATTTGGGTCGAGTGAGTTGGTGAGAAATAACAAAGAAATGAAAGAGAAAGGGCACTATTTTCTCATGTTTGGTTGTTAGGTGAGAAATTATGAGAAATGTCAAGAAAGAAAACTCTCTTATTTTATATATTTTATTGCTCACCATAATTGGTGAGATTTTTTGAGAAACACTCCATATCCATATTTCACGTACTTTTTTTTTTTAATTATCCAAACATGATAGTGAGAGAGAAAACATAATTATTTATTTCTTATCTCACCCCCAATCCAAATGGAGTGTTAATTTTTCATATTGTATCAATTTAGTCTAATTGATAAAGTCTCTTTAGAAATCTAACTAAAAGGAGCAAAATAGTCCATTCTGATTTGAAATGGTTCAATCCCTTTTGAATGGACTATTTTTCCCTTGATTTTTGTCCAATTTTTTAACCAATGTTTTAACTAGACTAAATTAACATAATGTGAAAAATTCAAAGACAAAATTGATACAATTGGAACTACAAGGACCAAATTGACACCAGAGTCAAATTATAGGGACCATTTGTATAATTTGCCCATTTATTTATTTTAACTGAGCACATAATCTTGACAGTGGGGAATGGCGACCCACCTGATTGGGACACAAGCTTGGTTTGATTTGGTTATCTAAGTTTTATCTCAAATTTTAGCTGGATTAACTATTTTTTGTGCTCCCCCCATCCATGGTTTATAGATAGTCATTGCATATTATCTATTATCCTCTGACTAGATTTTTTTTAGTAGATAAAATTTAGTGATCAATTTCTTTAAGAATATTATGGAAGTGACCAATTGCTTAATATTTATGTCTTGATTTGGCTTGGTATCCAGTACTTGAAGCATAAGGAACAAGATGCATTATTTGAGGCCTTGCAAAAAATAAAAGAAGGTTTGTAATTGATACTTCTTCATTTCTTCTCTCTTTACAATGTTTATCTTTTCTCTTTTAATCCTAAACAAAGGGATTTGAAACCATGTCATCTGTTATATGAGATGACAATTTACATTAATATGATTTAAAGAAAAAAAAAAAACTTTTAGTTGAATTTTTATATTCTTAGATGTAGTTGAATGAAGCTTCAAAAAATAGATTAAAGCACTTGAATGGGTAATTGCAAATAGATCCCAAGAAAATTAGCATGTTCCATATATCCAAATAATTTCTAATTGTCCTTCTATGCAGTAAACATTTTTTATTCCCTGACTTTTTTTTCCCTTTCTTTTCTTTTTTACCAGAATTGATGCTTTTGGGATTTATTTCCCTTCTTTTAACGGTCTCCCAAGGTCCAATAAGCCGCATATGCATCCCTGCTCATCTTGCATCTTACATGCTTCCATGCAAGTTGGAAACTGCTGCCTCAAGTAGCTCTGGGAATAACCATGAACAATATTTTCAGCAAACTATGACAAATGGACGGCGGCTTTTGTTCACAGAGACTGGTTACAGCCAATGTACCCGCAAGGTATCTCCCTAAGATTTATTTGATTCATCCATTTTCACTAGGAGGTGATTGAATTAGTAGTTTTCTCTCATTATCTCATAACATGCAATATTTAAAGCCTAATTAGTAGACCTGGTTTGCATATGTAATGTATGTATAATATCAAATCAATGTTGTGGGGTCCTTTTTAATTTGTGTTTAATATTTGTGAATAATGGAATTGAAAGAAATTTATCAAATGCACCCCCACTCTATTACCAAATTTAGAGATGTACACAAACAGAAAAAAAAAAGGGAAAAAAAGAAAAAAAGGAACAAGAAGCTAGGGCAATTTTCTTAGGATCATGATTCATAAGGCATTTCCCTCATTTTGTGACTCCATTCTCTAAGAGAAACATGATAATTTGTTCCTAAGAAATAAATTTCATTAAGAGAGATTGATTTTTAGACAGCATAGTCATAAATTCATAATATGCACTTACAATAAGTAACCCGCTGCCTGGACAGCTTCCAGAATAAAAGAGAAAATTCAATAGGTTGGTAGGTACAAAGTAGGAGAATACTTGTGGTTTTTTGACACATTGAACTAGTGTATTTCATCACAAACAAACATTTATTTATATATAAATATAACTATGATCTCTTACAGCTACTACTGGTTATAATTTGTTCCTTCCTGTACTCAGGGAAAGGTTCCTCTGTTATCGTTAGAAGCATTACACCAGCTGCACATTTTCATCTTCGTATTGGCAGTTGTTCATGTCATCTTTTGTGCGACTACCATGATTCTTGGAGGTGCAAAGGTAATGTATTTTGTACTCCAACTTCATGCCTTATTGTACAGATATATGAGTATATATGGTTTCTACAAAATATATATATATATATTTCCTTCAATTTTATGGAATTAACTAAATTCACATTCCTTCCATTAAGATTTGTATGATAATAAGCCAACAAGTACACAATTACAAGCATTTTTGTCGAGGCCAATTTGTTGCATATATCTGAGCTTCAGTTTTCTTTTTCTTTTTCTTTTTTTTTTAGTTCTTTTCAAAGTTGTGTATACGTTGCTGCAGTGAAGAATCAAACTAGTCTTACATCAACCTAACAACTCATTTATTCATATCTCCCACAGATACGTCAGTGGAAGCGCTGGGAGGATTCAATTAGGAGTGAAATATCCATGCCACGCTCTGGTAAACCATGAGTTTCAAATTTTCATGCATGTGTTATAGAAATGGGGGGCTGCAGTTTCATTTTGGTTTCTTTGACTTAGTTATATGAAATCAATCCTGTGTAGTTCACAGTCATGCACGCCATCATCAAATTTTCAAGCATCGTGCGGATGGATATTGGAGAAGGTCAGTTGTCATAAGTGGGATGGTGAGTTCGCTTATCTATGGATGCTCAACAACAGTACTCAAATTTTTTGTAATAAATTTTTGAATTCATTCTAGCTTCTGCAAACCAATCAGCTAGAATTTACAAATCAGCTAGAAGTCTATCTTGTACAACTTAAATGTGCTAAATCATTCATTTGTATATGTGAAATAGTTTTAAACTTTCACATTTAAGACAAAGAGATGTGGAGAGAAACACTTGAATCTAAAGGATTTAGGATAAGCAGAACTAAGATAGAATATGCGGAGTGTAATTTTAGTAACAATAATAATGGAAGCAAAGAAGAGGTGAAGATTGAGGACCAAGCATTACCTAAGAGTGAACATTTTCATTATTTAGGATTGATTATTACAACGGCTGGGGAGATTGGAGCGGATGTGGTCCATAGAATTAAGGCGGGGTGGCTTAAGTGGAAGAGTGCTTCTAGGGTACTGTTTGATAAACAAGAACCCACTAGACTGAAAGGGAAGTTCTATGGAATGGCTATAAGACCAACGATGTTGTATGGGACGGAATGTTGAGCAACTAAGAAACAATATGTAGATAAGATGAGTGTTGCTGAGATGAGGATGTTTAGGTGGATGTGTGGCAAGACTAGAAAAGATAGAGTTAGAAATGAGTAAATTCGAGAATGGGTAGGAATAGTACTGATTGAAGATAAGTTGAGGGAAAATAGATTGAGATGGTTCGGTCATATATAACGGAGACTAACAGAGGTAATAGTGAAGAGATACGATATGGTGATGGTAGATGGAAGTGTTATAGGAAGGGGTAGACCTAAATTGACGTGGGTTAGTGTAGTAAATAAAAATATGAATCTCCTTAATTTGACTAACGATATTTGGCTTTGAATAGAGTCGAATGGAGAAGAATGATTCATGTAGCTGACCCCATTTGATGGGACTTTAAGGCTTGGTTTGGTTTGGTTTGGATGTGGACTTAGTTCATAACTCATTATTAAGGAACAAAATATTCTTTAATATTGGAATCATCACTATGGCCAATGTAATTATTTAGGATGTGATCCTGTCGTGATTAATACAACTCTTTGGCCTCTGCAAACAAACAATTAAATATAATATTCAAAAGATTAAAGGATTTGTCAACTAGGAAGTGCAAACAATTTAACATAATTGCAAATAACGAATATAGAAGGTATTCACACTTTCTTTTGAAGATTAGTTTGAAATCATAATTGTAAATTTTCGTCTATTTTTCTCTGAAGAAGTAGGCTTTGACAGTTGTATAATATATGAAAACTTCAGGGGGTGCATTTGTAATTTGTCCTTTTATTATTATTATTATTATTATTATTATTATTATTATTATTATTATTATTATTATTATTTTAAAACTAAACAAGCCTAAGCATTTATGTAGTTAACTGTTCTTTTAATTACTTGATTGAAATATACTTTATTGCACAACATTGGGAGTTTGGCACTGACAATCATGCATTATCAATTTTGCTTTTTAGCTTTCCTGTTGTTAATTAGCTTCTATTTGTATTGTAAAAAATAGTCATGGACAACGATGTAACATGATCGTTCTTGAAGAATCGAGCAAGATGCATGTTTTAGCAATGCAATGGCTATTCTTATGCAAGTTCTAACACTTGTTTTTTCATTTCTTCTGACACTTGTTCGTAGCTGTCATGCTTCAAACAGTTTTATGGCTCAGTCACGAAGTCAGACTACGTTGCACTGCGATTAGGATTTATACGGGTATAGTTCCCATCATTGGTTATTACTAGATATTCATCTTGTCTATTAGTTAATTTCATATGCTGTGTTAAAAGCATCACTAGTTACTGATTGTGAATGCCTTTCATGTAGACTCATTGTCCTTCGCACCAAACTTTTGATTTTCACAAGTACATGTTGCGAACACTACAAGTTGATTTTAAAAGAATAGTTGGCATAAGGTAAACCTTGTACATTTTAATCGTTGCACTACATTACAGGAATGAGATGATTTTATGCTAACATTGTTAACCAATCTGCAACTTCAGCTGGTACTTGTGGCTTTTTGTCGTGATCTTTTTGCTAATTAATATTCAAGGTACTTACCCTTTTCTCTTTCTTAGTTGTGCAATTCGCCATTTCATTTCATGATGGATTTCTAATTCTTCCCGAGTATTGGTTAAAAATGCAGGATGGCATTCATATTTTTGGTTATCCTTTCTACCCTTAATTGTAAGTGAATTGTTTTCATTTTAAGTGTGATTTGGTGCCCATTTTGTAAAGAATGATGTAAGACTAATGCGAGTTGAGTGTGATGGCAGCTTCTGCTTCTTGTGGGTACTAAGCTGGAATACATAATTTCCCGCTTAGCTGAAGATTCTGTAGAGAAAAGGGCAGATGGCCTAGAAGCACAATTAGTGAAGCCTTCTGATGAACATTTTTGGTTTGGGAACCCCCATCTTGTTCTGTATTTGATTCACTTCATTTTGTTTCAGAATTCATTTGAAATTGCTTTCTTCTTTTGGATATTGGTAAGCAGATTATTCTATCATGTTTTCAGTGATACAGATTCACATGTGCAATGCATATTGTTTAGCACTGTTTTTAACTAATCATCTACTCTCCAGAGCACATATGGATTTCATTCATGCGTCATGGAGAAAGTGGGCTTCATCATCCCAAGACTTATCATTGGGTACTCCACTAATTCCGAATCGTAATTTTGCATTTTGTTTTAGTGTCACTGCATGTATGAAACTAAGTCTCTGTTTGTATTTATGGATTTGAAATGCATGGATTTGGCATTTCCATATTTTATTAAAGAGCTTTATCATGATGGATTTGAAATACCTATGCAAATGTAGATGTTTGAAATCATGCTAAGGATTCTCTTTTTAGCTACAAAGATGCTACTAAAAGATACATCTTTTCAGTTTTTCTATCCACCTGTAATAGCTACTTTTCAATATTTTTATAAAATCCAACCTCAAATCCCTTCATTTGAAATACATCTAACCAAACAGACCCTAAACGATTGTGTCCCATTCTCATCTTGTAATCATCTTCTCATTTCATCACTTGCTTGGGCAGGGTGATGGTTCAAGTGCTTTGCAGTTACAGCACCTTACCTTTGTATGCTCTTGTCACTCAGGTATTAAAAAAAGAAAAAGAAAAGCATATTACATCTATTTGCACTATTCTCGGATTAAGTTTGACACATTTGCTTTCCCGTTTTATTGCATGCTTAATGTAGATGGGCAGCATGTTTAAAAGAGGCATGTTTGAAGACCATATGGAAGACATTCTTAAAAACTGGTCTCGCAGAATGGTCAAAGAATCAATTGAAGATGACTACATTTCTGAAGAAATAAGAGCTGTTGATGAAGGAATTACGACATCAATAATTGAGCTTTCTCACCCTACCCGAACTCAAATATCATCTCCTTGAGTTTGCTTAACTCATCAAAGACTAGTCATCAGTCTAACCAACTGAATTTTCTTTATCAATTGTCAATGACAATCATGTATACAAAGTAAGTTCCAGATTACTTCAAGACAACACTGGCATAAGTAGAGCACGTTTTCCAATCCTGAACATGAATTACTTTTCAAGTTCTGATTTATTTTTTTAAAATTGTTCTTTTCTTTTTCTTCTTTTCCTCGAAATATTTAGAGACTTCAGCAAATGGTGAGATGTGATGAAAGTAAACTGTCCCAAGCCCCCCGACTCATCCAGCATAATCAAATAAATTGTAAGGAAAAACAATATAGCAATGATTTAAAATATATTTATTTGTTTATTTACTTAGAAGAGGTTTGGGTCTATCGAAGCATGCAATCGAGTTTCAACTACATCATTTGAATTTGTTGGGTGCCGCAGTTTTAATTTAAAGAAAAACACCATACCGTGCCCCACATGTGATATAGGACAAGATTTTAAAAAAAAAAAAAATCTAATTTTATTTTTAATAGGGTACTCAGTCCAACAATCCAATTTTAATTTTTTTTGGTTCATAAATCCACTCGTTAAATAACTCTGTCTAGAAAGACATGTTTTAATAAAATGACCAAATTACCCCTTCTTCCCGTTGTGAGTCACTTTATACAATAATCTGTTGAAATCCATTCCCAAACCCATTCTCTCTCTCTCTCTCCCTCTCTTCACCCTCCTCTCTTTCTCTCTCTACATTCGATCTGTTCAAATTCATTCCCAGAACTTATTCTCTCTCTTCTCCTCTTTTCTCTCTTCATCGGTGATTAATGGCCGTTAGCCTCCTCTTCCGCCACACCACCAACCTTTAGGTGCTTGATCGGCGACAGATCTTCCGGAGCCAGAACCATCTCTATTTCTATGTGATAGATCCGGATCTGCTGAATGTGCGAGTGCGGTGCGGTGGTTTTTGCCTTCTCTATCTCAGCACCTGGCCACCTTTTTTACAGATCTATGATGCCTAACTCCACTTCCACCATAAATGATGCTGCTCTCAAAGCTCGTCAACACCTCGCCCAGAAACTCGGCTATTTCCGCTCTTATTGATAGGCTGTTGTTGATATTTGTTTGAGTCTTCCGCCAATTGATAATCATGTAAGCAATCACATGTGATTTAAGACTTTTTTGATTGGGGGGTTGTAACCCCCATACTTAAGCAGGTGATACATATATATATGTATGTGTGCACGCGCACGCGCTCTCGCTCGCTGCTGGGTCTGTAGTTCCATACCTAAACTTGGAAAAGCTTTTAAATCTTTCAGAGAGGCTTCCCTCTCTCAAACACACCACATTTGTTTATTCATTTGTTCCCCCTCTCTCTCTCTCTAGCCATCAAAATAGGTTCAAAAAACATTGAGTGTGTGTATGTATGAATGTATATCTTGAGTGTATATAGATCTGTGAGTGTATGTGTGTATATTTGCGAGTGTGTATGTATGAGACAGATCTAGAAAAAACATTGATGTTGTTGATGATGATGATGATGATGATTGCAATAAATAAACAAAAAAGTTGGCATAGATTTTCGACAGATAGAAAAAAAATTGAATAGATAGATAGAATTTAGGGAAAAATTGAACAGATAGTCAAAAATTTTGAACAGATAGATATAAAATTGAACAAATAAATAGAATTAAGGCGAAAAAATTGAAGAGATAGATAGAATTTAGGAGAAAAATTGAACAAATAGGGGAATTGAACGGATAGATATAAATTTGAATGAATAGACAAAATTTGAACAGATAAATATAAATTTAAACAGATAATCAACGAAAAGTCAAATAGATAAAAAAAAGTCAAGGAGTATTAATGTAGATGGGCAGCATGTTTAAAAGAGGCATGTTTGAAGACCATATGGAAGACATTCTTAAAAACTGGTCTCGCAGAATGGTCAAAGAATCAATTGAAGATGACTACATTTCTGAAGAAATAAGAGCTGTTGATGAAGGAATTACGACATCAATAATTGAGCTTTCTCACCCTACCCGAACTCAAATATCATCTCCTTGAGTTTGCTTAACTCATCAAAGACTAGTCATCAGTCTAACCAACTGTATTTTCTTTATCAATTGTCAATGACAATCATGTATACAAAGTAAGTTCCAGATTACTTCAAGATAACACTGGCATAAGTAAAGCACGTTTTCCAATCCTGAACATGAATTACTTTTCAAGTTCTGATTTATTTTTTTAAAATTGTTCTTTTCTTTTTCTTCTTTTCCTCGAAATATTTAGAGAGGAACCACTTCAGCAAATGGTGAGATGTGATGAAAGTAAACTGTCCCGACGACAACCCCTGGTATTACGACATTTGGAACTTCTTGGAAAAGGAGGCATATCCACCAGGTGCAAATGCCAAGGATAAAAGGGCAATCAGAAGAATGGCTGTTCAGTTCATCATCTGCGGAGGTAAGCTGTACAAGAGAGGTCATCTGGGAATGCATAAGCTCTGTGTAGAAGCTGAAGAATCGAAGCGCCTGATGGAGACCATCCATGGAGGAGAGTGCGGTGCGCACATGAATAGAGTGATGCTGGCCAGAAAGATCCTCAGACAGGGTTACTACTGGTCTACTATGGAAGAGGATTGTATCGATTTTGTTCGGCGATGCCACAAATGCCAGATCCATGCGAACCGTATGAACATCCCGCCATCGAAGCTGTACAACATGACGTCCCATGGCCATTTTCCGTTTGGGGAATCGATGTGATCGGAGCTGTTAACCCGAAGGGATCGAATGGACATGAGTTTATCCTGGTAGCGATAGATTACTTTACCAAATGGGTCGAGGCTCAATCATATGCGGTGTTGAAGGCATCGTACGTCGCAAAGTTCATCAGAAACAACATCATCTATCGCTACGGGGTGCCAAACGAGATTATTTCGGATAATGGATCCCACTTTAAGAAAGAAGTGATTGACTTGTTGGAGAAATATAACGTGGCTTTTCATAAGTCATCCACATACCGGCCGCAAACCAACGGAGCGGTTGAGGCCGCCAACAAGAACATCAAGCACATACTGCGGAAGATGGTAGAAACCTATCGGGATTGGCCGGATAAGTTCCCGTTTGCTCTGTGGGGCTACAGGACTTCAATTAGAACTTCTACCGGAGCGACTCCGTATTCGTTAGTTTATGGAATGGAGGCCATTCTACCTATCGAAGTTGAAGTGCCGTCCTTACGGGTATTGGCTGAGTGTCAGATAGCTGAGGCAGATTGGCAGCAGAGCAGGTTTGAGGAACTCATGCTCTTTGACGAGAGAAGACTGAAAGCACTGTACCACGTTCAAAGTTATCAGCGCAGAATTCCCCGAGCTTTCAACAAGAAGGTTAAGTCTAGAAATCTAAAGGAAGGGGATTTGGTGTTCAAGGACAACCGAGCTCCCATTCGCGACCCTAGGGGCAAGTTCAGACCCAATTGGACGGGTCCTTACATCATCAAAGCTATCTGGTCAGGTGGAGCCATGGTTCTGATGGACTTAGGTGGCTTGGAGTTCTCCCAACCGATCAACATGGACAAGTTGAAGAAATATTACCCTTGAGAGGCTCGCTAGGCCGAAAACCCGAAAGGGCGGCCTAGGCAAAAGTTAGAGCACAAAAAATTAGAAAATATAAAAACTGAGCTCGTGAGACTGAAAACCCGCAAAGGGCGGCCTTGGCAAAAGTTAGAGCGCAAAAGGAGAGTGAAAATACTCGAGTGAACCTAAACCTGAACTACGTAAGGCTTGATTCCCATCTTTGGGATACGTAGGCAGCTTCATCCTGAAGTTTAGCCATAACACTTCCCCGATCAACTTTGTCCATTCGATCATCTCGGCCATCTTTGTCTATTCAGCATTGAAGGGTTCGGTTATGACCTCCAACGCAGTGCTACTCAGGCTAGGGGCAACTTTCCGTTGCTGTGTAGTGCTGCGGCGCTCTTTCAGACTAGGGGCAACTTTCCAGTTGCAGGGATCTGGGGTTGTGCATCTCAGTGACAGATCTCAGGCGTGTCCAGTTCTGATCCACATCAAAAATGATTTTTGAGAAGTTTTAATAAAAGCCAACTTTGTTCAAATAATCTTTTTACAACTTTGACCATTTTTGGACCAAAGTGGAAAATTTTCAGTACCACAACTTTCAATTTCATTGATTTCACAACAGAGTTCTCCTGCTCTTGCATACAATCGAAGTTGATTTTTATTACATTCATAAAGAAAACTTGAAAGTACTAATAAAGCCATAAATCTGGGGCATAGTCAAGTCAGGTGCTCCTGCGCCCCCTCACAGAGCTGGTCGAAGCCTCTAATGCCAAGCTGGGCCCAATCTGTGCTTCTTCATTAAGCCAATCCACGCATTCGTCAGACAAAGTGCAACTGAAAGTAGGGGCGGGGGCCAAGAGTTCCCTCATCCTCCATGCGGTGGCCTGCCAAGCGAGCTGTGCGCCTCGGGCTGGGAATGCAGCAGGATATTCTATCCCCTCTGGCGGGCAGGTCTGATCATGGCCAAATTGGCGTCGAATCCGAAATGGGAAAATACACAGTGAGTGAGACCAACACAGTTGAATCCCAGTCTGCCGAGGCATGTTGTAACTCATGCCGAGAGGTTCAGCCAAGGGCACCGCCAAGCAATACGGTCTGCGGACAAGTGGCACATCCAAGCGAACCACCATTCCTCATCCAAAGGCACTAGACGATGCCGGAAGAAGTAGCCGCGAGCTGAATATGCTGGGCAGGAGTCCACAACCTGCAGTTTGTCCATCAACCATACCTGGGGAGGGATTGGAAAATGAGAGAATAAAGAATAGAGAGATGTACGGGGAGAGAAAAGTGCGAATGGGGTTCTGTGAGAAAAAGATCGAGCTTGAGGGCCGAGTGATGTGAGCAATACATAAATGCGAGATTGGGTGGGAAACATTACCTGTAGTAGTAGTGGACTCCCCGCCAATCTAGTCGTCTCATGACGATAAAAGGCGTCTAAGCCCATTAGCGTCTCGGCCAAAGTCATGACAATACAGCTCTTACCCTCCCTCAAGTCTTGGGCAACCTCAATCAACCGGAAGCTAGCCCCTCCGGAGCTTAAGACGAATAGAAAATGGGACAACATGCACAAGCAGAGGGCATGTCGCCGGAAGCCTTGCCAGTGATGGTTGTTGCGATCGCCAGCATCAGAAAATCGATTGGCCAAACTCGGAATGTCCAACATCCCGTCATAAATCAGAGACCGAGCATCGCGCATGCTGAGTCCACACATGCGCCCTAAGGATTGGGCATGACCAAAATTAAGTTGGGG